TACTACACACACACACACACACACACATATATATATATATATATATAAATATATATATGCTCACCTGCTGGTTTGTGATATATCCTGGCACACAAGCCGTCATAATCCAAACCAGATAGTCCACAACCTGCATCAGATTCTCCGTAGGCGGTGCACGTGACAACACAGGATGATGCTTGGCGTTCGTATCTCCGTGCTGGAAGTGTATTAACTTGCCAGCGCTTGTGTCAGCCATGTCCTGGACATCTTGGTCTTGGTCACGGGCTATGGGTGCACCTGCCGCAGCTGCTCGCGTGAGGCCCAACGTGTACGGCTTCATAATCACTTCACCTTCGACCTCGTCGTCAATTGGACTGTAGTACAACACCGACACAAAAGAAGCCGTTTGAGAGCTGTTGCGTACCGTGTCACTACTCGAATGTGTGACAAAGCTCGATCAAAATGAACTGAAGCATATATTGCATTGTGACAGTAATCAGATATGCGATGCACATGGGTTAAACTGAAGTATAAGCATGATAGCCATCAGTTGTGTGATGGAGATAGATTGAACTGAAGTATATTGTACCATGACACCCATCGGATATGATATGTGATGCACATGGGTAAACTGAAGTATAGCATGATAGCCATCAGTTGTGTGAAGGAGATAGATTGAACTAAAGTATATTGTACCATGACACCCATCGGATATGATGTGATACACATAGGTTTAACTGAAGTATAGCATGACAGCAATCAGTCGCTCTGATGCGTATTTCGATATTCATCCAATGTATGATCCTTGCGCCCGCCGAATTCTTAACGAAATACGAAAGCTGGTAGTTGCATGGACCTCAAGATGAGCTTTGATTGTCCGTCTTGGCGCGATAGAGTGTGTTCCCATTGCACGCAATATTATCGGTTGTACATATGCGTATACCAATCATGGGTGTGTGAGTTTCAGGATTGTTATTGCATGAACGTGTGAGATAACCAGATAGGCTCTGCACAGTCCCATATGCATGTACATAACAACATACTCATCCTGGACATGCATCTGTTCACTGCGTGTGTCTGCCTGGTTGATTGTTGATGGTTCCAATCCGTTAAGTACGGGATATATCTCATAGATGGACGCGTACCCTAATCGGCTGTAAACGGCCTGTCTCACTTCCCTGAAAGCGGTACCAAACTGTATGCAAGATAGTTAAATAAAGCAGACTAAAGTCAACAATATATATAATTACATGTATATGTGCCTATATATA